ATTAGGTCTAGTTATAAAGCAGGTCTAAAAATATACATATTCATAATTTATCTATTTCATTAATTATATGAGCATAGTGATCATTGATGGGTTTTGTTTACTAAGAATGTAACAAAGATCGCTTAGATTCTATATTAATATGATTGATGGATCAAATTGTCTAAAGATGTCATAAATATAGTAAATATTGAGCTCTTACGGTTATTTAATAATGTATTATTATATATACATATATATGCGACCCAAGTGAAAGATTGTTGAAAATTTTTTATATGTGGACTCATATATTTATACATATAAATAAATTATTATACATTAGAAATTATCTAAAATTAAGCCAATTAAATTCGTGATCTATTTCATAATTAAATTATTATTTAGCTTATGTGGCATCTCAATTAAATTTATATACAATTAAATATTATGCATAGGTCGAGTATTTATTTTATATTAATGATGAGCTGAAATAAAATAAATACAATTAAACTATAAAAAGGTCATGATCCCCAGTTTAAGTGGTAAAACTCTTATTTCCCTCATTTTTCATCTTGAGTGAAAAGAAAGGGCCTTTGGCTCTCCTGGAGAATGCCGCTTCAAACATGGAAGATCGAAAACCTCAATTATGCATTTCAATGAATTCATGTACGATTCGTCGATTCTGATATCTTTTCTCAATGATTTGGCATGAATTTCAAAGTCGATGAAATTATTTTTTCATCTCCATTGAATTCTAACAAGTAGATCCGGGATTTAAGTCAAAACAGAGAAGAAAGGGATTTAAGATTCTGCAAGATTTGAAGTTGTCATTTTATTGTTTGACAGGATTTAGGCAAATTCCTGCTACCAAACAGTACCTAAGGGCATCTCCAACCGAACTCCAAACGCTTGAATGGCGTTCCTGACCAGCTCCAGCCGAACTGCAAAATTTCCACTATTTGGCTGCGGGTGAACAGTGAGACGTCAATATTAAGAAAGGGATTTAAGATTCTGCAAGATTTGAAGTTGTCATTTTATTGTTTGACAGGATTTAGGCAAATTCCTGCTACCAAACAGTACCTAAGGGCATCTCCAACCGAACTCCAAACGCTTGAATGGCGTTCCTGACCAGCTCCAGCCGAACTGCAAAATTTCCACTATTTGGCTGCGGGTGAACAGTGAGACGTCAATATTGGCGTTGCACTGTTCATCTCTGCCATTTTTACTTCTCTACCAAACTCACGGCGGGAAAGAAGAGGCGACCGTTACATGCCAAAGGGTGAAAAATGGAGTCCGATTGGAGATGAATCGCGGCATTTTGCAGTTTCACGGCATTTTAGAGTGATGATAATTCGGTTGGAGATGCTCTAAGTTGGCTACAATTCGTACAGCTCCACTTCAAGAGCAATCAAAGTTTTCAAAATCTTTTGCTAGTTAACAAACTCGCTTAGTTTCATTCTTTAGTCGGTAACAATATTCTTAGAAAAAATCCTTTCTAAGACCTAAGCTTCGGTCTATTGGTGCTGTATTCCTCTTTTCTTCCAGGGTTAACAGCTTGGGGAAAGAAAATACATAACATAAACATCTAGCAAAATGCGGAAAATGAGAAGGCAAGGGTTTTGAATCAGGACGAGCTCTACAAGAAAATTTGGGAGAATTATCAGTAACTTACCGGCGAAAGAAATGGGAACTTGGAGGGTGGGGCCAAGAAGAGAGGCAGGAGCCACGGAGTCAGCGGCGGCGGCGGCGGCAGCAGCAGCCGCTGCAGCGGCCGCGGAAGCAGCGGCACTTCCTGAAGTGCTTCCGAATGGCCGGCCTCGTTTCGCCGGAGTCCCGGTTGAGCCGGAGGCCTTCGCCGATTCCCTCTTCTGCATAGTTGCTCTTGCACGGGATTGAGAAAGTAGTTTAGTAAAAATCAAAAATTATTCCTCGTCAGAAAATTATAAAAAGCATTCAAAAACTCGGGGACCTACAACAAAGAAACCCTAATTTCCCGGTATTGTTATTTTCTAGAACTATTAACCCATTTAATTAAGAATTTATTTGTTTATTAAAAAATTTATTGATCCATACAATCAGGTATTTATATAAGATAAATTGCTTTCAAATTTTTTAAGAAAATATAGCATTTTCTCTCTCTCTTTCCCGAACTTTTATTAGGTCATGTGACTGGACGTAGAGCTACGTTCGGCCGCCAATAACATGTCGCAATGTGCTCTTACTCTTTACCGCGCGGCCCGACGACTTGACCCGGACCGAAACCCGGGATTGCTATGTTCGCATATTGCCAGGTATTACTCGGTATTGCTTGGCAATAACGAGAAATGCCGCTCTGTGAAGACCAATACCAAGCAATACCGAGTTTTTTCTAGAAAAACTCGGTATTGCTCGGTATTTGTCTTCACATAATGATATTTCTAGTTATTGCCAAGAAAAATCGACCAATACCTAACAATACCGAGCAATACCTAGCAATATCGGGTTGTCATGGATTTAAAATACTCATGTGTGACATACCCACTATTCGTCAGGTCGGGTCCGCGATTTTGTGCCTGCTACGTGGCCCAATCTCAGTGCTGGCCGAACGTAGCTCTACGTCCGTTCACCGGACCAAATAAAAGTTCCTCTTTCCCATAAACACACGCTCTCTCGCTGATTAAAATGAAGAAAAAATAAAATACAAAAGGAATTAGTATTTTGGTTGTAAAAAACTTTTTCTTGGGTTGTAAATATATAATATATATGTTGAATTCAAAATTGCCCGTAAATAATAGGTGACCCACTAGCAATTAATATCAAAAGACAAAAACTTGAAAGCTTATGATGGTATATAAAAAAAAAAGAGAAACTAAGGAACATATCAAATAAATGCTTTGCTAGGTCAATAATATTACAAAAAGTTCTAAAATATATTTATCTTCACTCTTTATTTATATAGATATGGGGAATACATGAAAACTTGCATAAAAAAGATTAAAAAAAATGTATTAATTTTTACATACAAAACACTTAAAACTATACAAAATAGATATTTAATACTCAAAGTATTATATTTACTAATATATCACTCAAACAACATTTCTAAAATTTCAAATACCACTGTAACATTTCGTTAAAACCCCTACCCGACTTTCTTGTGATCTGGTTCATGTTCCTGCACGTTCCTGTTCCCGAGCGTTCTTATTCCCATGCCTTCCTATTCTCTGAAGACTGACGGTCGCCTCTTCTTTGCTAAAGCAGGTAGTCTTACTTGTTCCCGCGTGTAATATTATCGTTCTTGTGATGGTATTACTTCCGCCAGCTTCAACTCCAACGATAGATCGTTCTCGCGATAGTAAAAAAATCAACGTTTTACACTAACATTTCAATTCCCTTGGATTAATCGTTGTTCTTACTCAGATTTGTCAGCTTCAGCTTCTACTAATCAGCCACTTTTGTAATTTCTTCGATGATGACATCATTTTCCTAATACAATATGACATTTTGAACATCTTCGAACTGCAAAGTTTTCTTTATTACATGCTTTGCTGATTGCCTCTATGGTAATGGTTGCTTTGGCTAACTGCAATTTTTGACAGGAAACTAAAATTTTTGTTGACTTTGGCTAACTCATTTTGATTCACTTTTTTCACTTCGTTTAACTTATTAGTTATATGCACACACAGAAATGGATTCAAGTCAGTTTTGCTTCATTGTCCTCAAATTCGGTGGATATTGAAGTGAGGTGCAAGGTCAGGGTCGAATGAAATATGTGGGTGGAAGCCATAAAACTTTAAAGCTTCGGAGAGATGAAATCACTATGTTCTTGCTAAAAGAACGAGTTGAAGCAATTTGTCCTTGGTTAAGGTGTCAACCATTCGACTTACACTATTATGCCAATGGAACATCGCCTAAGAATTACATGTTGGTTTCAAGAGACTCAGATGTAGTTGACATGCTTGAAAGTTCTTATGAAAGTAATAGAATTGATGAGGTGGTTGCATTGAAATATAATGAAGGAGATATGTCCCAATCACAGTACATTCACACTAAACTGCATCAGTTTGACTCAGAGATCGGAGAAAATATAGATATTGTAGCAAATGATTGGTGTGATGAGTTCTTTATAACATAAATTGATGAGGCAAATAGTCTATGTATTGGTTTGTGGTTCGAGGATTCCCAAAGTTTTAAGCAAGCGGTTAGGTCTAAGCACTACCATTTATGTTTCTGAATGCTGGCACTAGCATTTACATATTCGAGATCATAACCGCCTCTATTTTGCTGCTATGTGCATTTCAAAGCAATGCAATATACTAGTTTAGTATAAAGGACGATAATAAAACAAAATTATGCAAACAAATTTTCAAAAATGAAGATATATTTATTCCTTGATTTTTTGCTTATAATTTTCAGACTCAAACCCATTGACAAAACAATCATATTGCTATTCATTCAAGAGACAAAACACACATATTACATTGACTCAAAGTTACATTGATATTTACATTTACTCACATCGATTGCTACAATCAACATTGAGATAAACATTATTACCAACGAGATTTTTATTTGTAAAATCTTGGCTTTAACATGAGTTATGCTTGTTTTGGCAACATTTGAACTTCTTCGATAATTCATATCATGTTCTGATTCATTAGTTCATCACAACACTAGAAAAAATGATAATTATCTTATGATCTATTCCGAGAGCATCTGTAGAATTATGTTCCACAACTATGTGATTTGTATGATGTATATATTGTACATTGCAAATTGCAATGGAAATATATTTGATTGCTTGGGTTTCCAATTGGTGTTGCTGAGGAACTTGAACTCATTGTAGAATGACTTAATGATTTCGTATGCAATGGCAATAAACCTTCAAAATAAAGAAAGAAAAGCAACTTATTAGCTAATCAAGCTATCGACTGCTACTTAATACTCAAAAACATTTCAAATTAAAACTAAAATTGTTGCCTTGACATTCAATCAAACAGCTTACACTCAACTCTAAATTTCCAACACATCAAGCATTTCAGATTAAAACTAAAATTGTTGGCATTCAACCAAACAGGTAACATCCATCTCTCAAATAGTTTACACCCACTCTTAATTTCCAAACACAACACAGTAAATGAAGACATGAGAACACGATGCACAAACAACAGCCTGCTATTTGACATGGAGAAGATGAACTACAATAATGAAAATGAATACAAGCTCAACCAGCGAAAAAACCCCCCTAAAATGCTAAAACTCAGTAAGGAATTGAATGGGGAAGACGATGCATACCTTACCAAGCTCTTGCGAAGTGATCGAACAGGAAAAAATCGATGGAGAAGGCAACGGCTTCAGATGTAGAATACAATGCTGGCATGAACAAAATCGATGGAGAAGGCGACAGCATAAGATGGGGAAGATGCTGCTCGCGCAAACAAAATGAAGACCCGATGCGAATTTCTAACAGGGCTTAATGGAGTATTATAAAAGATGAAAATAAGGATTTTGTGTGGGATATTAATAAATATATACTTTGAGTGCTAAATATATATTTTTAATAGTTTTTAAGTGTTATGTATGTAAAAATCCCAAAAATGTAATAATAAATGAGACTTAGTATGGATTGCTCATGATACATGTCAAGATTTGATATGTGATTTGTGAGATTCTCCCCCTTCGCATAGCTATTAGTTTAGGATTAGCTTACTTTATTGAGTGTTTGTGAGTGGCTTGAGGAAGGCAAGTCCTTAAGATGGATCAACTCAGATGACTCTATGGAGGCGAGTCTTTTGGTCGCTTTAGTGACTTCCTTAGGGCGATCATCGGGTCATTTTAATGTGAGGAGTGAGTCCATATGAGCTGCATCAATTACGAACTCAGAGTAGGTCGAGTATTATGGCTTCCTTAGCATGATGGTGATGTGACATCACTCACTTCATTCTTCAATAAGTAGCAATCCATAGGCTATACATCAATACCTTTGAGCTATTTAGTTGATAATTTCCTTATTACAAGGAAGTTAAAATGGACATAATAATTTAGAAATGTTAAGTAATAAATTGGTGATAAGGGTGGCAAAATTGTATGCTTAAGGGACAGAGAGTTGACCGATGCCTTGACCCTTCAATGAGTAAGGTTAAGGTGACCGAGGTGGGTCCCTGGAAAAAAATAATGAAGTTAGAGTTGGATGTCGTGTATTCAACCACAATGCCACAAAAAAAGGTGGTGGAATTGTTGGGGCTTGTCATTGAAATAGAGGCGAGTCATGAGTACATGGATAGTAGTACTTTCCTTAAGCTCTAAGGATGTCCACTTGTCAGTGAAGACGGCCAAGTGCTTTCTCGTTGGGTGCCCAATGGATGTGGCTATAGCCAAAGAGTAAAGAGGTGGCTTCCACAGAGGCTGCAGTGATGTCAACAAGCTATAGACAGTGGCGCTGCAACGCCTACTTAGATCTTTTTAAATTGATCTAAATTAGAGATCTTAATGTTGTAGTGCTCTATAACCCAACACCACAACATTCATATGGGGGAAAAATTATATTTTGAATTTCATGCACACATACCCAAAGGTCCCGCTTTAGAACAATCTTCATGCACTCACACACTCACATACACTCAAAGACACATGTAGAATTAAAAATGCAAGCATTCCATTATATCAATCTTATCAGATCAAGTTAGAACATTGTTGCAATAGATATTACATAATGTCTCTCTTGATGTTGAATCTATGGCAAACAAATTCTTCACCAATTCTTGATATGCCCTTACTACCCATCTACAGATATTGAAAACATCCTTAAAAGACTAAACAAGCTAGCTTCAAGCTGAAAGAAGTGATTATTCTTAGTTTTCTCTTTGGGACATCTTCTCTAGCTAGGACATCTTCCACTACTTCTACAATCTCAAACCCTTGCCTTCAATCAGCATCTAGATGCAATACCTCAACTAGGGTGGTC